CTGCCATAGCGAGTACTCAGCAGCCAATGACCTGACTGACATAGACCACTTCCGTAAACTCATGCACTCGTCGATTCGTAGGGTCTGGTAGGGAGGTAGGAGGTGGGAAGAATCGAATGTGTTGAATGCCATTTGGTAGCAGGCTCACTATGTGTGTTGTCGACATGCTCAGTGAAGAGGTCGATATGTGTCGTTTCGGGGCTGTTCCCGTCGCCTTGTAGCAGGCTCACTGTGGGGTGTTTTGATGAGTTCTTTTCGATTCGCTAATCCTACGAATGGTCCAGCGGTGCTTTATCCCTCCTGCTGTCCAGAGGCCGTTCCGTTATGCCGAAACGAATTACCCGTTTGGTGGGCTGACCCAAGGATACGATGCCTCAAGTTCCTGTCTTGACCTCAACCGGTCGTGGTGTCTTGGTCTCAAGTTAGTATCTTGACAAAGCCCTTGCCAGCGCGTTTGTTTATTAACCATTCGTCCGCTAATCCGAATGGGCGTGAGTGTGCGTTGATTGGCCCGTATGTGTTTCTCTTCGCCGGGTGTACGAAGGAGCCTTATTATAATGTCAGGACCAGCATAGATGCGATACTAGTATGGGTGAGGTAGAACGAGGATAATAAGGCTACCGAACTATGTATGTGGGAAGGAGGCATGATATGGTAGGGGATGCCTCCGCCAAGGCCCGCTAGCCATAGGGCTGAGTGGTGTGTCAAGGGTACGCTCGTAATAAAAAGAGTCGATTTATTATAATATTATTTTGATAAAACGATAGAATTAATTATTACGCGTCGTAGATATATTATTAATATATTATATAATAATATTAATACTATCTTTAAGAATAATATTACTTTTATAATATTAATTAATAATAATCTATAGTAAGTCGACGCGCTTAATATTAATATATCTATAGCGCTAGCTAATAATCTTTATAGTAAATAATATTAGATTTAAGAATTTATAATAAAATCTTAAAAATTTAATAAGTAAAAGAAGGGAGAAGAGTTTTTCTATAGATAACGTTATTTCTATAGCGTATTATTTTTATAGCGAAGTAATATAGTAATAATCTTTATTATAAAAATTCGAAGAAAGTAATTAATAGAGCGATATATTTATAATAACGCTCTTAATTATTAATTAATAATAATAGTAGAAATAATTATAATAATTAGATAACGCGGCTCTATAGATAGTAGCGAAATATTATCGCGTTATTACTATCTACGTTATTTAATATTATTAGTATATATAAAAGAATAAGATAGAGCTGAACTAGAAAACCTTGAATTTGTATATGCAGCCAATTATTAATTTGTTAGGTCTACGCTTTTTGGTTAGATATCGCGGGTAAATAAATTAGCGTTCGCAACTATTAAAAATCTATAAAAATCTATGTGTAGAAGTCTTATCCTCTGAAATAACCAGCTTCTTACGGATATTGTTTCTTTATAATTTAGTAAATTGTAGAGCTCGCTTTACGCTTTCTAACGCTGTAAAAATTATAAAGTTTAGCCTACTATTAATGAATTAAATGAATATTCAAATATAATAGTTATGGTAGTTACACTAGACGCGTCCGAAATCGAATAATAATCCTTTCACCTATTTGTTATTCTTTCATTATTCTATTAATTCTATTAATTCTATTAATTCTATTAATTCTCCAATTCAATATGAATATAATCGTCTTCGATACCCCTCGCCCAATTAGAGCCCCTTACTAACGCCCCTAGGCTACCTCCTCGGCGAATTTGCTACTGCTAGTAATCGAGGCCGTAAGCGAGTTTAATAGCTATCTACTACTACTTATAAACGCGTTAAAAGACCCTTAAAAAGAGCTTAAATGAATACGTTCTCTTCTATATACTTCTCTTAAGCCAGCGATAGATAAGTTAAACTAATATTCAAATATTATAGTTACACTAAACGCGTCCGAACGTTATATACTCTCTACGATTTTATATTAAATTATTACTTAGTAAGCGGAGAATACTACTATAACTTGGCCTATTATCCCCACTATATTAAGGAGTAAGAGGAGGAACTATAATAGGTAAATGCGGAGAATACTGCGGAGAAACTAAGCGGCAATAAGGCTACCATCGTCAAGAACACGGCTTAGCTCTCCAAGATCCCACGTTATATGCTCTCCACGGTTCCGCATTAAATCATCACTTAGTAAGCGGAGAACACCACTGCAACTTGGCCGTTCCACATCAAATCATTACTTAGCAAGCGGAGAATACCACTGCAACTTGGCCTATTATCCCCACTACATTGAGGAGTAAGAGGAGGAACTACAATAGGCAAATGCGGAGAACACTGCGGAGAAACCAAGCGGCAATAAGGCCACCATCGTCAAGAACACGGCTTAGCTCTCCAAGATCCCACGTTATATCAGTTATCCACTCAGTCAGCCACTCAGCTAGCCACTCAGCTAGCTACTCAGCTAGCCACTCAGTCTGATACTCTACAAGAGGAGGAGCAAGAGGAGGAACTACAATAGGCAAATGCGGAGAACACTGCGGAGAAACCAAGCGGCAATAAGGCCCCCAGCACCAAGAACACGGCTCAGCTCTCCAAGATCCCACGTCATATGCTCTCCACGGTTCCATATCAAATCATCACTTAATAAGCGGAGAACACCACTGCAACTTAGCCTATCATCCCCACTACATTAAGAAGTAAGAGGAGGAACTATAATAGGCAAATGCGGAGAACACTGCGGAGAACACTATGGAGAACACTGCGGAGAAACCAAGCGGCAACAAGGCCCCCAGCACCAAGAACACGGCTCAGCTCTCCAAAATCCCACATCATATGCTCTCCACGGTTCTACATCAAATCATCACTTAGTAAGCGGAGAATACCACTGCAACTTGGCCTATCATCCCCACTGCATTGAGGAGCAAGAGGAGGAACTATAATAGGCAAATGCGGAGAATACTGCGGAGAAACTAAGCGGCAACAAGGCCACCATCGTCAAGAACACGGCTCAGCTCTCCAAGATCCCACCTTATATGCTCTCCACGGTTCCACATCAAATCATCACTCCGGAACGATGCATATTTGGACGAATTGAAACCGTCCGATGTCTTGCTCTGACAGCTATTTCATTATTCGAAAGATTTCACTGCGGCAGGAGATAATGTGGGATTCACACCACTAATTGGCATGTTGTCTCCATTTCTTTCCGGTATTTCGATACTTCTTGCCATAAGGACATGGCCTTTCTCTGTTTTTTGTGGGCAATTATTACGGATCAATTCTTCACACTCGATATACCTTCCTAATTAGGCCTTAGCGCGCCTCTCTTCGTACATATATATCTATATAGTAGGTTAAAAACGTATAGTAAGCGATTAGAGTTCGATTTAACTTAGAAAAATTCAACTTCATAAATTTAATTCATGGGCCTTTACTTATTCGTTAATAATAGCGCTATAATAGAGAATATAAAAACCTCTTTTAAATTATTTATTTTTATTCTTTATAACTTCTAATATTTTTCTTATAAGTATTTACTCTAATGTTATAATATTAATATAAGTAAAGGCCCATGAATTAAATTCATGAAGTTGGATTTTTCTAAGTCAAATCGAATTTTAGCCCTAGCCCTAAGTTGAATCGAACTCTGATCGCTTGCTGTGCGTTTTTGACTTACTTTCATTATTACAAAATTAATTTAATCTATATAGTATATAGATATATATGTGCGGAGAGAGGCGCGCTAAGGCCTAATTAGGAAGGTGTAATAATTACCTATAAAAAATAGAGAAAGGCCATATCCTTATGGCAAGAAGTATCGAAATACCGGAAAGAAATGGAGACAACGTGCCAATTAGTGGTGTGAATCCCACAATATCTCCTGCCGCAGTGAAATTTTTCGAATAATGAAATAGCTGTAGACATCGGACGGTTTCAATTCGTCCAAATATGCATCGTTCCGGAGTGATGATTTGATGTGGAACCGTGGAGAGCATATGACGTGGGATCTTGGAGAGCTGAGCCGTGTTCTTGACGATGGTGGCCTTGTTGCCGCTTGGTTTCTCCGCAGTGTTCTCCGCAGTGTTCTCCGCATTTGCCTGTTGTAGTTCCTCCTCTTACTCCTTAATGTAGTGGGGATGATAGGCTAAGTTGCAGTGGTGTTCTCCGCTTGCTGAGTGATGATTTGATGTGGAACCGTGGAGAGCATATGACGTGGGATCTTGGAGAGCTGAGCCGTGTTCTTGGTGCTGGGGGCCTTGTTGCCGCTTGGTTTCTCCGCAGTGTTCTCCATAGTGTTCTCCGCAGTGTTCTCCGCATTTGCCTGTTGTAGTTCCTCCTCTTACTCCTTAATGTAGTGGGGATGATAGGCTAAGTTGCAGTGGTGTTCTCCGCTTGCTGAGTGATGATTTGATGTGGAACCGTGGAGAGCATATGACGTGGGATCTTGGAGAGCTGAGCCGTGTTCTTGGTGCTGGGGGCCTTATTGCCGCTTGGTTTCTCCGCAGTGTTCTCCGCATTCGCCTGCTGTATTGACTTCTCTTGCACTGGCTGAGTGGATTGGTGTGAGACCGTGGAGAGTAGGCCTGTTGTGTCACTGCTGCTGATGACTGTCTCCGCAATGTTCTCCGCAGTATTCTCCGCATTCGCCTGTTGTAGATCCTTCTCTTATTTAACTGAGTGCGAGGGTACCGAGCTGAGCCGTGTTCTTGGTGCTGGGGGCCTTGTTGCCGCTTGGTTTCTCCGCAGTGTTCTCCATAGTGTTCTCCGCAGTGTTCTCCGCATTTGCCTGTTGTAGTTCCTCCTCTTACTTCTTAATGTAGTGGGGATGATAGGCTAAGTTGCAGTGGTGTTCTCCGCTTGTTGAGTGATGATTTGATGTGGAACCGTGGAGAGTATATGACGTGGGATTTTGGAGAGCTGAGCCGTGTTCTTGGTGCTGGGGGCCTTATTGCCGCTTGGTTTCTCCGCAGTGTTCTCCGCATTTGCCTGTTGTAGTTCCTCCTCTTACTCCTTAATGTAGTGGGGATGACAGGCTAAGTTGCAGTGGTGTTCTCCGCTTGCTGAGTGATGATTTGATGTGGAATCGTGGAGAGCATATGACGTGGGATCTTGGAGAGCTGAGCCTGTTCTTGGTGCTGGGGGCCTTGTTGTCGCTTGGTTTCTCCGCAGTGTTCTCCGTATTCGCCTGCTGTAGTGACTTCTCTTGCACTGGCTGAGTGGATTGGTGTGAGACCGTGGAGAGTAGGCCTGTTGTGTCACTGCTGCTGATGACTGTCTCCGCAATGTTCTCCGCAATGTTCTCCGCATTCGCCTGTTGTAGATCCTCCTCTTGTTCAACTGAGTGACTGAACCGGACGCGTTTGGTGTGACTACAATATTTGAATGTCAGTTTAACCCACCTACCGCTGGCTTGAGAGGAGTATATAGGGAAGGACGTATCCGTTCGGGCTCTTTTTTGAGGGTCTTTCAACGCGTTTATGAGCAGTAGTAGGTAGCTGTTGGGCTCGCTTGCGGCCTCGATTGCCAGCAGTAGCGGATTCGCCGAGGGGTGGCCTGGGGGCGTCAGTAAGGGGCTCTAATTGGGCGAGGGGTACCGAAGACGATTGTGTTCATATTGGTGGAATTGGTAGAATTGGTAGAATTGGTAGAATTGGTAGAATGGTGGAAGAATAACAAACAGGTGGAAGGATTATTATCCGATCCCGGACGCGTCTGGTGTGACTACCATGACTACCATATTTGAATATCCATTTAATCCACCAATAGTAGGCCAAACTTCATTATTTTTACAGCGTTAGAAAGCGCACACCGAGTTCTACAATTTACGAAATTATGAAGAAACAGCATCCGTAGGGAGCTGGTTATTTCAGAGTGTAAAACTTCTATATATAAATTTTTGATGAGGGAGCTCGGGAGGGCTAGCGGGCTAACTTAGTCAGTCTAGCCAAAAGGCGTAATAACCTCGAATTGATGATTGGCTGCATATACAAATTCAAGGTTTCCAAGCTCAGCCCTATCTTATTCTTTAATAAAAAAAAAAAAAAAAAAAAAAAAAAAAAAATATTTTTATATTATTATTTTTTTTTTTTTTTTTTAAAAATTTTTTTTTATTTTAATTTAATTTAATACGTAAGCTAAAAATTTTATAATATTCTTTTTAATAATAATAATAATTTTAATAGTTGTTACGAGCGTACCCTTGACACACCTCAGCCCTATGGGCTGGGGCCTTGGCGGAGGCATCCCCTACCATATCATGCCTCCTTCCCACATACATAGTTCGGTAGCCTTATTATCCTATTCTACCTCACCCATACTGGTATCGCACCTATGCTGGTCCTGACATTATAATAAGGCTCCTTCGTATACCCGGCGAAGAGAAACGCAATCGGACACACTCCATTCGAATTAGCGGACGAATTCAAAGAAATGCGCTGGCAGGGGCTTTGGCAAGAAACCAAGTTGAGCCATCGTATCCCTGGGTAAGCCCACCAGACGGGTAACTCGATTTCATAGCGAATCGGACTCGGCAAACAGTGGTCGAGAGATAAACAAGGCATTGGACCATTCGTACGACTAGCGAATCGAAAGAAATAGTCAACAACCCCACACACAGTGAGCCTGCTACAATGGCAGCAAACGTTCGACCTCTTCACTGAGCATGTCGACAACACACTCATAGTGAGCCTGCTACAATGGCGACGGGAACAGCCCCGAAACGGCTACGATTCGACCTCTTCACTGAGCATGTCGACAACACACATAGTGAAGCCTGCTACCAAATGGCATTCAACATATTCAATTCTTTCCCTACCTACCTACCAAACCTACGAATCGACAAAGACAAAGGATGGAATGGAGGATAGACTTGATGGCAAGAGCATGGGAGACACAGGGCAAATCTACAGTGAAGCTCCCAGGCCAGGCTGCCAACAGGTGTTGGAGGATGACACATTCATGCGTTGGATTTTCTTCAGTTCTACCGATGGACTTGATGGCAAGAGCATGGGAGACGCAGGGCAAATCTACAGTGAAGCTCCCAGGCCAGGCTGCCAGTAGGTGTTGAAGGCGAAAAAAAAAAAAAGTGGAGGACTATGACAAGACGACTGGGTAAGGAGAAGAACTCGGAGAATCTTGCTGGCACGCAGGCAAGATATGGCCAATATCTCCAGGATCTCTGCAGGACAATGTGGGTATGGCAGGCATGGATGGCACAGTCAAGACCAGCATGCGATCCGATGTTTTCGACTACTACCACTACACCTCGGCAAATCTTCTCCGGTCGAGGCCTACACGGACTATGGATGTTTGGAGACACAGGGCAAGCAATGGGCGTGCATCTCCGGTCTACCAGCCATGGGGGCCATGGCTATTGAGAGGGGGGGTAGTGTTACGAGCGTACCCTTGACACACCCTCAGCCCTATGGCTAGCGGGCCTTGGCGGAGGCATCCCCTACCATATCATGCCTCCTTCCCACATACATAGTTCGGTAGCCTTATTATCCTATTCTACCTCACCCATACTAATATCGCACCTATGCTGGTCCTGACAATAGTAAGTATATAGTCGTCTTATAAACGCGATTACTAACTCTTAACTATTCTTACTAATTAAAAAGATATAATATAATATAGAATATTAATCTATTATATTATACTCTAATATAATATAAATTATTAAGATTTATATAATCTTATATCTAATATAATATAGAGATCTTAGCGAAATATTTTACGATATAATATATCTATAGTATTATATTATAAAATAATATATATATAAAATATCTCGATTAAGATTTCTATATTTAGAAGTAATTATTCTAATTATTATTTTAATTAATAACTACGCTAAATTAATAAGATATAAAATTAAATATAATTATATTTTATTATTTTATATATATAAAAGAAAGCGAGCTATATCTATTAATAATAAGAAAAGCTTATCTTTCTCTAATATTAGCTACGCGAAATTCGTTAATACTTTATAATTAAAATTATTAACAATAATTTTATATATCTATTATATATTTTCGATATCGCTATTTAATATAAAATTATATATATTATAATTATAATCTTTTTATTAAATTATTAATTTAGAAAAATTAATATATCTCTTAATATTCTCTTAAAAGTATTATAGCTTAATATAATAAGCTATATTTCTTTAAGCTATCTTCTCGCGATATATAAAAAAAGATTAAATATAGAAAGTATATAAAAGTATATTTAATAATTCTAGAATAAATTAATAATATTTATAATAATAATTAAAATTAAGAATTAAATATACTTAAATAAGAAGATAGCTTTATATTATTTATATAATAGCGATAATAATAATTAAGATTAAAATATTAATTTAAATAACGTAGCTTTTATAATAAACTTTTTATTATTATATATTAGATTAATTATATATAAATAAAGATTTATAATTTTATCTTTTAGATATAATTATATTTAATATTTTAAGATTTTTATAATAGCTCGATATTTATTAGTTAGCGCGTTAATATTATTATATCTAAGCTATAATAACGCTTATTATTAAATTCTATATTACGCTCTTAAATAGCTTAAAAAATAAGATTTACTTAATTATTAGTATATATAATAGAATTATTTTTAATACTTATATTTTATTTAACTTCGATATTATTTATTTTCTTTTAATTTAAGCTTTTATCTTTATTTATATATATAATAATTTACGCGATAAATAAAACTTTAAACTTCTTTATAATTACGCTTATATATTTTTTATATAATATTATTAAAATATAAATTTATTAGAATAATAATTAGAATTAGAAATTATTTATTATTTATCTATTATATTTTATCTAATTTATTTAAAAGTTTACTTCTATTATAATAATAATATATTAATATATTTAACTTTATACTTTTTAATAATTATAATATAATTAATAATTAAGATATTAACTTTCTTTACTTTTTTAATTAGTTTCTTCTTAAATATAAATATATTTATTCGCTATCGCGATCTCTTAATATTTTTATTTTAATTAAACTTATTCTTCGCTTTTTATTTTAATTAAAAATCTAATTGTTATTTAATTAATTTATATTAAAACTTTTTAATATCGCTATTATTATTAATATTTAATATTTATTATAATAAATTATTAAACTTAATCTCTTCTATTTTAATTACTATAAAAAGATAAATTAATAAATATATATAAAAGAATTAAAGAGCTTATATAAATATCTATAAATACTAAGCTATTCTTAATTTTAATTAAAGCTTATTTTATTAAAAAGTGCGTTAATTCTAATAAATATCGATATTAGAAATAAAGAGAATATATATTATATACTATTATAAATATATTATTATAGAGTTTAATTTAAAGAATAATTATTTCTATAAAGATAATAAGACTTAAAAATAAGAAAGTAAGAATAAAATATATAAAAATTTTAATAAGTTATAATAGTTTAGTATTAGTTAAATTAGATAAAGATAATTATTTACTAACTCGCTCTTTTAAATCTTTTATCTTTTAATCTATATAGAATAAATTATAATAATAATTATAATTATTATAAAAATAACTTAAGATTATATTAGATAATAGTACTTAATAAGCGTAATTCGCTTAAATTTAAATCTTTAAAATTAAAGAGAAAGCGTTTTATTAATATTTAATTTAAGCTAGATAATATAAAGTAATCTAAAAATTTAATATACGCGATAGATATCTAAGCTTTTCTTCCCTCTTCTTTCTCTCTAAGACTTTCTTTTTATATTAATTCTTCTTATTATTAGACTATCTTCTTTATATATTAAACTTCTATTTAAATAATTTAATATTATTATAATAATATTAAAAGTATAATATAATCGTTAAATTATATATTTATTTTTTATCTTTTAATAACTTTAAACTAATATATAAATAAATCGCGTGAAGAGCTTAATTTATATATACTTAATCTATTATTAATAGCTCTTTAAAAAAGCTAATACTATTTTAAAGTATTAGATATAGCATTAAAATAAAGTTTTTATTAGATATTATCGCCGCTTTAATCGCTATCGCTATTACTTTTTAATAAATATTATCTCTACTTTAATAGATATTACTTAAAATATTAAAGTATTAATAAAAACTAGATAATATATTTTTTTAATTATTATTATATTTATTATATATAACTAACGTGAGTTATAGCTTAAGCTTTACGCGAGATTTATTATTATTAAAAATTAACTAATTTTATAATTTTAAAGCTTTTCTTCTAGTGTCTAATTTATTAAATTATACTTAATTAAAATTTATTAAAACGCTATTATATTTAAAGATTCATTTTTAAAGTATTATATAAGATAATAAAAGTCTTTCTAATTTATTAATTTAAGAGTAAATCTTTTATTATTACGCTTTATAATTAGCTCTAATAATCTCTATTTAAATAAATATTTATCTTTATATAATATATAAAAAACGAATTATATTATAAAAAAAAAATTTAAATCTTATAATTATTTTAGCTAAGTCGTTTAAAGTAAAGAAAAAATATATTTATTTTTAATTATTAAATTAGTTAATTATTAGTATATATAATTATAAGAATAAGATAATATTTAAAAACCTGAATTTATATATATAGCTAATTATTAATTCGAGTTCTATATTTTAACTAGATCGGCTAACTTATCGCGGGTAAATAAATTAGCGTCTAATTATCAAAATCTCTCACCTTTCTTATTAAAAAAAAGGTGTATATTATTAACACATAGA